TATATGATATTTTTCTCTTTCTGACTTACTTCACCCTGTATCGTAAGTTCTAGGTTCATCTGCCCCATTAGAACTGATTCAAATGTGTTCCTTTTTATGGCTGAGTAATATTCTATTGTGTATATATACAACTTCTTTATCCATTCATCTGTCAATGGACGTCCAGGTTGCTTCCATGTCTTAGCAATATAGTGCTACAATGAACATTGGGGTACATGTGTCTTTTTCAGTTATGGTTTCCTCAGAGCATATACCCAGTAGTGGGATTGTTAGGTCATATGGTAGTTTTATTCCTAGTTTGTTTTCTTTTCTTTTCTTTTTTTTTTAGGGATATCCATAGTGTTATCCATAGTAGCTATTATCAATCTGCATTCCCACCAACAATGCAAGAAAGTTCCCAAAACATTGTCTTTTATTGAGAAACAAAATCTTTTTTGGATACACAGCCACCTTATTTATCTATTTTTTGATTGCGTTGGCTGGAAGAAGTTTAAAAGCAACTCTTCTTAAGATTTTTGCAACTTTCATTTTCATGACACTTTACTTTGAGTGCTATTCTCTCAAATCATCCCACCCTCACCTTCTCCCACAGAGTCAAATAGTCTATTTTGTGTCTCTTTGCTGTCTCACATATAGGGTCATCGTTACCATTTTTCTAAATTCCATATATATGTGTTAATATACTGTATTGGTGTTTTTCTTTCTGACTTACTTCGCTCTGTATAATAAGCTCCAGTTTCATCCACCTCATTAGAACTGATTCAAATGTGTTCTTTTTAATGGCTGAGTAATATTCCATTGTGTATATGTACCACAGCTTTCTTATCCATTTGTCTGCTGATGGACATCTAGGCTGCTTCCATGTCCTGGCTATTATAAACAGTGCTGCGATGAACATTGGGGTGCACGTGTCTCTTTCAGATCTGGTTTCCTCGGTGTGTATGCCCAGAAGTGGGATTGCTGGGTCATATGGCAGTTCTCTTTCCAGTTTTTTAAGGAATCTCCACACTGTTTTCCATAGCGGCTGTACTAGTTTGCATTCCCACCAACAGTGTAAGACGGTTCCCTTTTCTCCGCACCCTCTCCAGCATTTACTGTTTGTAGACTTTTTGATGGCAGCCACTCTGACCGGCGTGAGATGCTACCTCATTGTCCACCAACACTTTTTAAGGTCTCTGATCCTCTGCCGCCTGTATTTTTTTCACATGTATAATGGCCATTGGTTTCTAACAGTTGTAGTCAGTATCTGTTCCTAATGCTATATATAAGCTCATCCACCAAACTTATTTAATATGGCCACACACTTTTTATATGCATAATTTTAAATTCTTACAACTCCCCTGCAAGGCAGATGTTATTGTCCACATTTTACAGAGGAGAGAACTGAGGTTCAGAGAAGCAGCTGAGACAGAGGTGGCTCTGCTGCAAAGCCCATGTTCTTTTCACTACTCTTGGCCTCTCAGTAAAAAGGCCTAAGTGAAATAGAATCTTTAGAGACTTCCCTTGTGGTCCATGGTTAAGAATGCATGTTTCCACCGCAGGGGTGTGGGTTTGATCCCTGGTGGGGAAACCAAGATCCTACATGGGTGTGGCCAAAGGAAAAAGAAAATGAATTTTTAAAATGTTGAATAATCTGTATTTCTTTTAATATCTCAACTCCTACCCCATTAATCAAGGGCCTGAGCTTTGATTCTATCACAAAAATTGTGCTATTCTCTGTTTAGTGAGACAGAAGTGGGAGGGGAAAAATGTATTTGAATAATGATGCTTGTGTGTGTGCAGGGAAATGTGAAGTTTCTGCCACCTGATGCTTTTCTTCATGGTCTGTTCTCACAGACTTTCTTAAGAACTCAAGTCCCTGGGTCCCTCCAAAATACCAGAAAGGATATTCGTTGCCCTATCTGGAAGGATCCAAACAAATAACTGACCACCCAAAAATCTCTGTGGATGGCCAAAGAAACTTGCTAGCAATAGGAACTGGTGATTGATGGACAAAAAGCCATGAACTGCCAGCATCAGGGGAATGGCTACCCATGCCAGTATTCTTGCCTGGAGAATCCCACGGACAGAGGAGCCTGCTGGGCTATAGTCCATGGGCTTGCAAAGACACAACTGAGTGTCTTTCACTCACTCAATACTAAACTATAGTGAACATTTTAAAAAAATTCTTATTTTGTATTGGGATATAGCTGATTAACAATGTTGTGATAGTTTTAGCTGAACATCAAAGGGACTCAGCCATAACATATAGCTGTATCCATTCTCCCCCAAACTCCTTCCCATCCAGGCTGCCATTTAACATTGAGCAGAGTTCCCTGTGCTATATAGTAGGTCCTTGTTGGTTATCCATTTAAAATATAACAGAGTGTCATGGTGAACATTTTTGACCAATTATAGGTCTATCCATGGGACCTCCTGATGTCCCAGTGGTTAAAACTCGTGCTCCCACTGTAGGGGGCATGGGTTTGATCCCTGGTCAAGGGTCTAAGACCTCATATGCCAGAAATTAAAAAATAAATAAATAAAAAATTTAAAATTATTTAAAATTTTAAAAAATTTAATTTAATCACTACCCACAGTGAGAACTAAGGCTCTTTTGCTTTAGTGTGTGATTCCATAGCTCATCCCCTCCCTCCTGATTTCCTTTAGATACCACTACTCACACCCCACTCGTTTTGAGCAGGTATCTGGGGGGGGCCAGATAACAGGAAGGTGAACCAAAGGTAGGAAGCTTGTGTAGGTGAGTGAAAGGAATATCCTCTTTCGTCACTCCCCTAAGCAAGGAAGCAAGGAGATGACTGTCAGCTCCCCCACGGGAGCAAGGGAGGAACACGGCCCAGTGGGGTCGGAGCGTCCTCACTGCCGTCCTGGCCCCTTGAACAGGGATCTCAGGTTGAATTCACAGGAAGGAAGGAGGACAAGACAAAGACTGTCTCAGGACTGGCCTGCTCCCAGCAGCTCAGGAGCCGTGCCCCCGACAGGAGATAGTCCTGTGCCTCTCTGAGGGTTCCAGCCACAGACGAGCGTGATCTCCCAAGGGACAAAAACACATCTTCTCCAGAGAGGCACGTAAAATGAGTGGTATTGAGTCTTATTCCTTGGCTTCGCTCTGTCTGCAGTGGAAAGCTAGCGATTCCACACTGCTGAGGTCTGGATAGCACCCCTGGAGGCCTGTGTGTGTGCTAAGTCGCTTCAGTCATGTCCAGCTCTTTGCGACACCACGGACTGTAGCCCACCAAGCTCCTCTGTCCGTGGGATTCTCCAGCATGAATACTGGAATGGGTTGCCAAGCCCTCCTCCAGGGGATTTTCCCGACCCAGGGATTAAACCCGGGTCTCTAATGTCTCCTGCACTGGCAGGCAGTTTCTTTACCACTAGCGCCACCTGGGAAGCCCTCTGGAGTCGTGGTGGTCAGTTCCTTCCTTCCCCTGCTGACATCCACGTACTCCTCCTGTGTAGCATCAAGTGAGCTCAGCTGCTTCCTTGGCTCCTTTGTATCCAACTTTATCCTTCCCTCTAGTCCCTGGGACACGAGCAGCTGTCTTCCTGGTGATATCAGCTCATTATTCCAGTGTCTTTTCCACCCTTAATCTGCCTTCTCTCAGGCCCAATGTCTTTTGGGTGTTACTGACCTCAGAGCTGTCCATTATGCATTCTAGGGAAGCAGGTGTCTCCTGGGGTTGTCCCAGGCAAACCAGCATATGTGGTCAGCCTTCCCAGATGGATCATGCCCACCTCACTGACTTGTAAGAATGAATGGAATGAATGTACATCTGGGCACTGTGTATGGTATAATTTAAGGGCTGAGTTAGCTCCTAGTAGCTGAGCTCTTCCTCAGGTGTCTCAGCTCCATACCTTACACACCCTAGCAGGCTCCTTCTTCCTGTTCACTCTCTCCTTTCATTTCTGGTCCCCCACCTCCTGCGCTCTGCTTGTTGGCATCTCCATCTCTGCCGCTAGATACTGGCTCCCAGACTTCCTGGTGTTAAGGGAGGGTTTTACAACTCTTTTTGCCTGATTCCGGGACTGGTAAGGGCCAAGCCCACTCTCCTGGGTCCGATCCTGTCTGGTGTAGCCCTTACGGCAAGTCTCTGACCTTGAACTTTGGGCCTGGGCACTCCTAGGAGTGAGGGTCAGGGTGGGGTTAGAGCTGAAATCTATTTGCACAGGGACGTTCCTAGTTTACGTCCTAATAACAATTTTATTCTCCAGGCCACGCTTCCCTCTCCACCCCGCTATAGTTCACCCTTGGTTTCACAGCCAACGATCTCACAATAACTCCTTTTTTATAGGTGTAAACATGCCCCGGAACTCGTTCAGGCTAGAAGTGTGCAGAATTCTGTGCCTCTGAGGGGCCCTTCACTGTTGCATGGCTGCGGGCGTGCAGACGGGAGAGCAGGGGTGGCCACGACCCTGTCCCCGTGGGGAGTAGAGTGGTGGTGGGGAGGATCAGAGGGTCCTGGCTGGCTCAGCGCACAGGCTGGAATCTGAATGGGACAGCAAGTCCCTGCTGGGACCTGGGAAGTATGTTTGGGGCCAGGGGGCGCTCGCACTCAGACCGCGGTCCTGTAGGGGGGTGCCGCGGGGTGTAAGTCCTGGCCCTCCAGCCGGCCTCAGTTTCCCCGGCCGTGTCGGGGTCACTAGTAACCAGGGTAGGAAGGCGCGGCAGGAGCCGCTGCGGGCAGACAGAAGGTCGCTCAGAGCCGGCTGCATGTGTGATCGCAGCTTTCGCTTCCCGCAGGGAAGTGAGCCGGCAAGTTCGGGCTGAAGGGCCCACAGAGGCGCGGAGCGCCGCGAGTCCACGGCCCGAGGCGAAGCACGGGAAATTCGCGTGCGAGCGGACGGACCAGAGGATGGGCAGGCCGCGTGCGCCCTGCACTGCGCCCGCCGGCCCCGAGGGCGGTCAGGTGCAAGGGGGCGGGGGCTAAAGGCCACGGGTTGCCGGGTCGGGGCGGGCCGGCCGGCGGGGCATTTAAACCCCGGGGATTGTCAGCTCGGGACGCGTGCCCAGCTCCGCGTCCTCCTCCGCTCCGACTTCGCTTCGGGTACCGCCGGGCACGATGAGGTCCTCTCTGGCGCCCGGCATCTGGTTCCTCCGCGCCTTCTCCAGGGACAGCAAGTGAGCGGGGCTGGGGCGTGGGGGCACGGGGAGCGCCGGGCCCGGCGGCCTCGCTACTGAGACCCGACTCCGGGAGTCCCAGGACGCTTGTTGGGGTGAGGGTGGGGGGTTCTGGTAGGATCTGGCCGGCGGTCGGCGGGGAGGTGAGGTGGCACGTGCTCACTCCGCCTCTCCCGAACCCCTCCCTGGGACGCTGCCCAGGAGCGTCTCCGCCTTGTTCTTTCGCATCCTCACCTCCGCGCACACACACTCCCCCCTGGGGGAGGCCCGACTAAGAGCGCCTCCTTTATCACCCGGGGGACCCCCGGTTTGTGGACTAGGGAACCGAGGTCAGGGCGTGGCAGCTGCTGCTATGAGAAAGTGGCCATTGGCGTTGCCGAGTGTCCCATTTGGTCTCTTTTAGCCCTTGGATAGCTCCAAGAGCAGAACCTAGTGGTCCTGGAAGCTTACCTTGAGCGGCTTCCCGCCCTGAGGAACATCCCCGGGGAGGACACACCTCTCAGATCAGGGGCCAGCTGCTTCTCAACTGGCTGGTCACCCCAGCAGCCGGCCAGCGACTTGCTCCTGACCAAGGAAGCTTGAGGAGGCCACTGGACCATCAGGTGTGTGGTGGGCTGGAGAGTTTTCAACCCACTCTTCATCAGAGGCCACACAATGGAACACTTGGCTTGGTCTACACCGTGTCTTTGTTTCCTTTTGTTTCACTTTGTGTTAGTTGCCATCACTTGCAAATGATAAAACTTAACGTTAATAGCCAGATTCCTCCTTCCTCTGATCTAGTAATATCAGGCCTAAATTCTAAAATTTTATCATTAGGAGTATTATCATCACCCTTTAGATGGGGTGCAAGCTCTTAGTAGGACCCAGCTTTGTTTTAAAACAAAATCCTGCACCCCAAAGCCCCTCAGTCCTAGGCAAATCAGGATGGTCACCTGAAGCACTTTCCAATTGGTGACAGCCCTCCTTGGGGACCTTCCTCATCACTGCCAGCCTTCCTCACTCATTTATTTATTTGGTATTTTTCAGAAAAAAAGTCAGGTGACTCTTGTAAGGATATAAAAATGAATATGTGTTAAAAAGATTTTATTTCACTGGTGATGAGGGTGCCCGAAGATGGTATAATTGGCACAAAAGAAAATCCAGGGAGGGGAGAATGGGGAGTTGCTGTTTAATGGGTACCGAGTTTCAGTTTAGGGAGATGAGAAGGTTCTGGAGATGAAGGATGAGGGTTGCACAAGAATATGAAGGTACTAAATGCCACTGAACTGTGCACTTAAAAATAGTTAAATTTTATGTGACAGACGTTTTACCACAATTTTAAAAAGAGTACAAAGAAGGTGCCCATTTAAGTCAGGAATATTGAGGCAAAACTGGTTGAGAGGGCAGATTATTGAAACTCTATCAGTTCATGGACATATTTTATATGACTTACTTGTTACTTACCATTTGATGAAATTCAAGGTCAGGGAAAGGCATGAATTAGATAACTTGGAGGGGAGGGCTGTCCTCTAGGCAATGCACAGTTTCTCAGAGAAGCACACACACATTTTTTTTTTTCTGTCCTACAGTTTTCTCTGCTAGGATTAAAAAAAATAGCCTCAAAGAATGATTATTCTTGGTCACAAAATAAGGTTGGTCGTGTTAGGTTTGATCTGATTATCTGTATACATAATTTACTATGTTAAGTTCCCTTGGCTGGAAGTTTTCATAAGGGTTCTGAGACTGGACTTTTAAAAGCCTTCTATTATTTACTGTTCTGAGATTAGGAAGCCAAGCCAAGAAATTGTCTCCACTAGGTTTTACCTGCTGTACCTATACATTTATTAATAGACAAATTCCCTTCTTCTTAAGGTCCCCAAAATATCCTAAGATTCCTGGGCCTGCCAGGGAGTGAAGTCCTGATTTACCTGTAAGGGAAGACAGTAAACCAGTTTTCTTGGGAGGGTTTTGTATCAGCTGTCAATCTTAATTCCTTAAGAGTGGCATCAATATCTGATTAAACGAGTATCATTGTCAAATATAATATTCCAGGCAAGGCCTTGGTTGCAAAACCTAGTTTTCTAATTGTTGTTGTTCAGTCGCTAAGTCATGTCTGACTCTTTGCAAGCACATGGACTGTAGTCCCCCAAGCTCCTCTGTCCGGATTTCCCAGGCAAGAACCCTGGAGTGGATTGCCATTTCCTTCTCCAGAGGATCTTTCTGACCCAGAGATCAAACCCACGCCTCCTGCATTGGCAGGTGGATTCTTTACTGCTGAGACACCTGGTAAACCCGTTTTCAAATATGCTCTGGTAAAATAAAGAGGACAGATTCTTATTGAACTTTTGCAAATAACCATATTTTATAAAAAGCAAGGAGACAATAAAAGTTTCTAAATTCTGGGGAGTCGGGTTGAGAGAATAAAGTATTTACAAATATTTTATTTCAGTTTACAAAAACAGAATCTCCTAAATTGTTATGGGTTACAGACATAAGAAAGAAAAAAGAGCTTTCTTATATATTCAGAACACTGAACGCTATAATGTCACTGACATTCCAAATGTCAGTGACAATCATCCTTATCAGTTCATTCAGTTCTAAGTGATTAATTCTTATTCTGCTGAATCTTGGGTCAGCAACCTCATAAACCTGTCAGCTTCTTTACCTAAGTTTTGGAAATCCTGACTCAGTCCACAGGTATGTTCTTAAAGGTATCTGAATGATATCACCAAGAGTCTGTACCCACGGGTGTGTACCTGGTCCACTGATTTTGTGAGACAGTGCTCGGTTGTTAAAGATAAAACCTTTGGCTTATAGATGGTTGCAGAGCCTTTAGGGAACATCCAGAATAGAACAGAAACTATCTGTAAGGGTCAGGGATCTGAAAAGATATGGATTAATTTATTAATGATAATTTTCAAAAGTGAATGATCTGATGAGAAGTCATGATAAGAAAAATGCAGCTAACAGTGCAGTCTGGTTGTTCCTGAGGTATGTAACACACACGAAGCCAATCCAGAAAATATTAGACAGTGTCTAAAAACACACTTAAGGTTAATTTCAAAGAAGATGGTGAACATAATATCTGATTTTTAAGAATGGATAATTTTTATAGAGGAAAAATATCTCAAGATTTTTTATATCTCAGTATATATATTTTTATGTATTTAGAGATATATAGAAGTCCCAAGACATAATTTACATAATATGCCTCGGGAATACCAAGAATGTCAACTTAGACTTAGTAAGTCCAGGTGACTTAGTGGTTAAGAATCTGCCTGCTAATGCAGAAGACATAGGTTTGATCCCTGGGTCGAAAAGATCCCCTGGAGGAGGAAATGGCAAAGCACTCCAATATTCTTGCTTGGAGAATTCCATGTACAGAGGAGTCTGGCTGGCTACAGTCCATGGGTTGCAAAGAGTCGGACACAACTGTGCATGAACATACACCAGCAAGTCCTAAACATCTATGTTTTAATAAAGCTCCATAGGAAAGTCTGATGTACCTCCACAGTTGAAAGTCACTGACCTAGAAGATCCTAGACTCAAAGAAGTTGAAGTTTGGATAAGATTAGCTGAAGTCATGACCAGTAACAATATAGTCATCATCAGGCAAAACACACCAGGATACTGATCCGTAGAGACAGATCATGGACCATAAGGGTGTTGAGAAGTCTATAGAAATTTCTCATGCAACAAACCATTTCTGAGATACTTATATAAATAATCATATTCTACTTCTCTTTTTTCTCTTAATAAACAAAAATACATCTCATTACTGTATGTACAAATTTGTACCTCTCTGCTATTTATTGTTCCTAGTAGAGTCTTATTCATATATATTAACTATACCTTTTAACCAAAGGAACTAGTATTTCAGAGAAAATGAGGGGGCAGTGAGACTGGGTCATTGGAAGTAGCCTGTCCCACACCAGCATTTTAGAAGAGCTCAGAAACACACATAACTTTCTACAGCTGCACATGTCATTGAGACACTCCTTAAAGTGTGAATCCAACCACATCTCCCAGGTTTAAGACAGATCTGAGTTGAAATCCTCTCACCACTGTGTGCTTTTGTATAGTCAACGTCTCTGAGTGCCACCTACCCCTGCCCCCACATCAGTAAAAGTCAGGTGGGTTCTTGGGGGCAAAAGTGATCCATGAAGGTTCATGGCTGATGGAGAGCCCGCGGCAAGTGTTCCTTCACTTCTTTCTTGATGTGTGTGGGTTCGGACTCCTAACAAACACCCAACGTCATTGTAGTTCTTACTGTAGGCACAAGATTGTTTTGAACTCTCAGGCTTACAAAGATGATTAAGTCACAGTCCTACTTTCTCGGAATTAAGGATTAATCTGGAGGGAGGGAGTGTCCTCTCATTATCAAACTGGCTGCTTCCACACGTTCCCAGGGAGGACTTTTAAACAGAAGAGAAGAAAGAAGGCATTCTGGAGTGGGACCCTGGCGGGTGGGCTCCCCCCGAGCTCTGTACAGCAAGGATATTTGTAACACCTGCCTCATTCCGTACTTGTGAGGATTAAAGATTGTCGCAAGGTGAAGCAGGATGAGTGCCAGGCTCACAGTAAGCACTGACTCAGCATTAATTATTGACTATTATTCTACTTGCTTTTCCTACCACTCTGTACCAGGGCTTGTGTTTGTGGTCCACTGCAAGTTTTTCGATTGTTTCCCGGCCTAATTCCCCATTATAAGGATATAATGAGGCACAGAGAAGTTATGTAACTTGTCCAGCGCCACATAGCTAGTCAATGATTGAGCTGAATTTGAATCCAGGTTAACTGGACTCCCAAGTCCCTGGTCTTTTCCTTCTGATTAGAGGGTGGGAGGGGAAAAGAAAACAGGCGTCTTGCTTGAGACAGATCACTAAATTTCTAAGGCTCCAGGTCCTTGTCATTAAAGTGGAAATAACAATGTACCTCGAGCCCAGGGCTTTGGTGAAATTAAGTGAGAAGACATTGAAGGCACTTAGCCCGGTGTCTGGAGCACACTCAGTACTTGGGAA